AATCCTCTAAAAAACCAATTGAAGAATCGTTTGAACGATGCTGAGTAACAAAACACTAAGCCTACCCAAATAAAGAAACAAAACCGTATGTTTCGACGATGATGCCGACGAATGGCCAGCCGAACAGGACAATCATCATACCACTGAAAAAGAATATCGTTCCTTTCAGCTTGTGAAACTGAAAGAAAAAACGAATCGTCCGTTCAATGCCGATTACTAGCGTAAGGCCACATATGAAAAGTATCTAAAAATACCAAACTTACATACTGAGCACGAACGGCAATCAATACACGACTTTATGATTAATTGTTGAACAAAGAGTAAATTAACCATTTTCTAAATACTGCAATATAAAGAAATGGGTGTTCAGTTAAACTAGTTTCATTATCTTGCAAATGACGGATAAGAAAGGGTGGGGGACAATTGCCGGTTTAATCATTAATAACTTGCTTTTGGTCCTGTTGTGCATAGCCCTACGCCAGGGTGCTGCGAGCTGGATTTGAGGTCAAAGCGATATCGCAGTTAGCATTTCACATTTCATAAAGATCCCACATTTGCTCATCACTTAATCAAATAAAACAAATAGTTATATCAAGCATAAAGTAAAATGCAAACGGTAGCAATATGCAAAACAAGACAATAGATCTCTAGATGAAACGTCGGCGTATAGCTACATATCATCTTTCGATACAATTTTCTACCGCTGCTGCTGCGTAGATCTCAATCGCAGCAGTTGTTATTGCACAAGCAAGACACAGGGGACTACGGACTTCATGGCTGAATAGCAGCTCTGACGACGGCATTAGATTATAATTTGAAAAACGATTACTTCAACTACGAATGTGGAAGAGTACGGATTTCAAGCCATCAATTATTATTTCATTTCTTGACATGCAACTTCATATTTCAACGTCCAACTAACCAAAACAACTAACGGTCGTAGCATTCTGGACATCAGTCACGCTACCACCGAATATGCAGTTTCGTAGCAGGCTTTCGGAACTAATTTGCTGCGTGATCTGATCTTACAAAGTC